CACAACAAGCCTCTTTACCTGCGGAACAAAACTTTTCTGTTCGACCTCAGAGGGAGCCTCCGGAACCATTGGAGAATCATCCCGTGCCTGTTCAGCAAAATGTGAAACCCCCTGACGAAGAGTTGTGGTTCGATGTGGGGATCATTAAAGGGACATCTTGTGTCGTCACTCACTATTTTTTGCATGGGGATCAGTCATTGGAAAGCACTTATGGGGTGAGTTCTGTTCCCTTTCTTTACAATCCTATAGAACATAGTTTTGTATATAATTTTCAGAATGATTTTGATGTTGGTATGCATGCTGGTCAAGTGAATTTTCTTCGTAAGGCAGAACTTGAACCAGGAACTGCTTATCGCTTCCGAGTAGCAGGTATCAACTCTATAGGACGCGGTCCGTGGAGCGAAGTTTCTGCCTTCAAGGTTTGTAATGCTGCCTTCTTTTCCGTGCATAGCACAATTCCCGAACGCCAATTACTCCATGGAAACAAATCTTGCAGACTTGCCTTCCTGGCTTCCCGGGAGCACCTTCCTCAATCAAAATTACCAAAGGGCAAGATGGCGCTCAACTCACATGGGAGCCCCCTCAAAATGTTGCAGGTGAGCTGTTTTAATTTTAGGAGCCCTTGACTTACAATTGAAGAGAGTTAATGTTGGTATGCAAGCTTCAAATTCTATATGTATGCAAAGTAATGATATTTTGCTTGAAAAAGACAAAATTTCCTTTACAGTTCCGTTTTTCTTTTCTCGTTTTACTTCCAATAAATTCTTAGATTTTTCTTATAGCTGTCATTCTTAACATTGTTATGAATAAGCCTTTTATAAACATTTATTTGTATCATGTATGCACTCCAGGTCGAATTTCTGAGTATAGCGTCTACCTAGCTGTGCGGAATAACTCCGGAACTAGCGACAACCAACTGGCATTCATGAGGTATGCTTTCTTCTTTTCTTTTAAGAATCATCTTCATTTCTCTGCTTTAGAGTGTATGTGGGTGTTGAGCCGGAATGTATTGTGAACCAGACAAATCTTGCTGCTGCTTATGTAGACCAGTCTACGAAACCAGCTATCATCTTCAGAATTGCAGCCAGAAATGAAAAGGTAACACTCAATGCTACGCTTGTTTTGTTTAAAAAAAAACACATTCAACCACATGTTGTAAAGGGCCGTATCGTTGATAATTCCTATATCCAAACTTCTTGGGCCTCAATGGGATTACATTAAACGTAAAAACCATTTACAAATGCATACTGTTTTTTCGGCGACTAGAATTCGGTGTGAAGTATATGTGTTTAGTTGTCATAAAGTCTTGCCTAACTTTGCTACAAGTTTAGCATGAATTTTTTCTCTGAATAATTCCATCAGACCTCTCAGAGAGAGAGAGAGAGAGTTTCCATCGTTTCTTGGAGTTTTAATCTGGTGCAGTGTCAACGATGGTTCCGAAGAGGACAAACCTTCATGCATTTTTGTAGTGTAAGCCTACCGTGAAAGAGATACAGGATCATTATTGGGTGCAAATCTCATTTCAAGGCGCTCTTCAGGATGATTCGTTAAGATCTAGAATAAAGGAGTTAGCAAGAGTTATACGTCGCATTTCTGTTCTGAAGCCCCGTTCTTTAGTCTACTTTGGGTGCA